AGTCAAAAACATAAAAAAAACCTTGGACAGAAACAGGCTGTTGTTGTTGTTGTTGTTGATGAAGTTGTAAATGTCTTGGTGTACAAGTTTGTAGTGGGTGAGAGTTGTATTGGGAGCTTTTGACCAAGAACTTTGTACAACAAGTACAACAGCAGCAACAGTCATAGCAAGGCGAGGAGCTTGTTGATGAAGATGAGATGCTTGGCAGACAGAGGCATAATATTGATTCAAGAGAGAGAGAAAAACAAAAACAAAAAAGCGAATAAAGAAACAAACCAAAGCGAGATGACTGACTGTTTCGACAGGCCGTAAGTATGTATGTATCCAAGACAGATACTCAAAAGGAAGAATCAGCTGGAAAGGGGACGCGATGGATAGGCTCAGCAGCTTGGGTCCGACTCTGATGTGTATGGCCGAGTTAGGGATGAGTTCGGAGTTTTTGTTTTTGTTTTTGAAGTGGTTGTTTTTTCGGACTGGTTGCAGGCCGGTTATAAGATAAGTTTGTTTTTTTTTTGTTATCGGTTGTTCTCTTCAGCTGATGATGATGATGATGATGATGATGATGATAAGGAATTCAGCCCGTCGATCAGGGAAGAGGGGCGGAACGATGGGGGAGGGGGTTATGTAAAGAATAAGTGAAAGCTGAGAAAAGTCTTGATCATCATCATCATCATCAGTTCTTCTTCAATCCCATGACATTTGACTCCAACATTCACTTCAAAAGACTTCTTTTTTTGAGAGAGAAAAGCAGGACCAGATCCAGATAACAATAAACCAGCTGATAAAAGTGGTGTCAGGGTGTTTTGATAAACTTTAAAAAAAAAAGAGCGACATGTTTGTGTATGTAGCAGGATGCTTTCATGTGATTGTCAGGTGATTTTAGACCCAAAAAAAAAGAAAGAAAGAAACATGACTTTGGTGTATTTTTGTACACAACGACAACAACAAGAACAACAAGATGTTATTGTGTACAACAAGTCTATGTAGCTTGAGAAGCTTGTGTTGCGTTACAACCACGACAGCTGTTCCTCCGGCCTTTCGGCATGGCCTCATGGCCGCCCTCGTCGACGGTAGGATGTTTAACCCCGAATGATTCGGACTGATCATCACACCGACGGTTCGGTTTCCTATAACAATACTTACAACAACACCCTTGATCTTCCGCAGCGGAGGGGGGGGGGGGAACAGTGGGAAGGTTTTTATCAATCATCTGCGAGAGCAGTCAAACTCAACTGCAAAATTATATGTGTGGGTTGGTTGGCTACATAATTTGGTTGAAACTTGAAAAAAGGTAACTGTAACACTAATCATTTACAATCTGTATAACAACAACAACCAAAATTGGATTGGTTTCAGCACAACAACTTGCCTCAGGATGACCATCCATCTCTTCAAGCATCTCTGGGTGATCGGCAACCCAACCTTGCACGCTGGAAGTGCTGCAGGATCTCGGCTGGCTCGCTCGCTTCGTAAACGTCCGCTCTCAACACTTGGCTATCCATTCCCACCGGGTGTCCCTGATAAGCATAAGCATGTTACTTTAGTCATCATCCAGGCTTGGCTCACCATGTCGGAAATGATACGACATTTCATTCGTTGTAACTTCATTTTTTTTTGTTTTTTCAATGACGCACTTTTACACGCGTATTTTATAAAGAAAAAGGAGAACCCGATGAACATCAACTCTGAAATGCTCTCCAGAACTTATACATACTTATTTACATGACTGCTTCTTTATTAGATGTCGTTGCTTCACGCGTGTTACACATCATTACTCATCACAACAACAAAAAAGAAAACAAGCCACGAACGATGGCAAAAAGCTCGGTTCAAAAACACAACTGCAGTCTTCTCCAGTTCTCAAAAGTTTTTTTTTTGGCTCTTTGTTTACAACGACAAAAACAAAGAGATTATTATGACGACATTGTAAAAGCACTGATGGAAAAGGTTCGAGAGATGACTCGCGAAAGTTCTGCCGAAAACAAAGATGTGCGATCAGACGGCGTCCATCGATTACAACAAAAAAGACAGGAGAGGGGGGGGGGAACAAAAACCCAGTCGGGAAAATGATCGCGGTCCCTTTTTGCAATGATAAACAGGATTTGTATGTAAGCAAGCCGGAGGAGGAAGAAGCAAGCGAGATGGCCAACATCTACAACAGCCAAAAGGCTCGCATACAATACAACACCATAAACAGATATATAGGAGAGGACGGAAGATGGATGGTCGATATGGGAGCCAAGAGCTACAACAATATGTGCCGGTGCAGGTCTGCTGATCCAGATCAACACCAAGGGGCTCGGTCTTCACACTGCAGTCTTCTCTCTCTCACTTAAAAGTGTCTTTCAAGTAATAAGCCCTTTCACGAGGCCTGGCGCTGCAGGCATGACAATGGTTTTTCCATGGGCTGGAATAAACAGCCTTCAGGAGACTCATAATATCCGCAAAAAGATCTAAAAACAGGACCCCGGAGAGCCCCTACCAAGCCACCTAATGTAAAACCTGCGAAATCTGGGTTTTTGCTACCTAGGAATATCTGGTTTTGGGGGGCAGATGCATGTTTTGCTACCTCCGACATCAGGGTCCTTTTGGTTATTTTTGAAAAAAATTTCAATAAATTTTCCTATCATGCATAAAATTCAATTTTTTTTCATCCTTGTGAAAAATCTCTAATCATTTCATGCATAAACTACAACTGATGGACAAATTGCTACCGCATACAGAAGGATCATGTGCTGCTTTTTTTTGTTTTTGCTACCTTTTTGCGGATTTACATTAGGGACATTTCAGAAAAAAAATCTGTTTTGCTACATTTTACATTAGGCGGCTTGGTTGGGGCTTTCCGGGGTCCTCTAAAAACCTCTCTCTCTCTCTCGTGGCTCTTCTGACCTTGATCGAATACTTCTTATGTACCTTCTTTTTCTGGGCGGCCGACGGACCACGTTCTGAACTTCCCTCGCCGGCCGCCATGACCAATTGGGGATCGGTAGGTACAAACAGATGTAAAGGATTGGAACGCTAGCATTCATCATCATCATCGGGGCTCGTCCCCGATGAATTCTTATGTAGTTCCACATGATGACCCCCTGCTCTCGAGGTAAGGGGGGGCACATAGGATAAGGACTTGTTTTGAAAAGGATGTGCCCGGGATTCCCGAAAATAGACAGCATGCACTCCCCGTTGTCCCGCTACAATATCAACAGATAAAACTCACAGTTGTTTGTATGTGCTCGACAAGATGTACCCTGGCTCTTGCCGATGGAGGATGCGGGTTGGAAGCGACTTGTGTACATAGAAAAAAGAAAAAGAAGCGGCCACTAGTAATATGTAGTCGATCTGAATCGTAAGTTTATGATGACTGCAGATGAGCTCTACGAATGGCGTGCCGAGTGCTTCACATGAGAGTGAGCCGGATGTGGTCGAGATGAGGAGGGAGAGGCTGGGAGCCAAGGATCGGATGATGAGGATCCTTCGGGCCGACGGTCGGCTGTCTGCTCTCTCTCATATGATTCATCGTGCCATCCTGTCTTATGTATTCATGCCCCTCCATCGCTCATTTCACTCCGATATTCAGTGCCATCCTTGATCCTCTTCTTTTATCCCAATTTTGTCAGAACCTCTCACTCACTCTCTCTCTCGGACAAGCAAAAACGTGGCTCGGTTGGAAGTTTTGTCTTCTCTCTCAGAGTATGTGTATACTTCCATGGATCTCATATTCCCAGCCAACATGTACCACAATGGAGCAGCGGGGAAGAGACACATTGTAGTCCCAAGTACACATGGTGTGCATGGCCGCTGCGGCTCCGTTTCAAGCCTCGCCGTGAAATCCGGGAGAAAGATAAGCTGGGGCCAATATGCACGTTCTCTAAGGCTTTGTTTGGCCGTCCATGATCGTCATAAACGATCATGGCAGATATTTCGGGGGTGCACAGCTAATGACGGGGCCTCACGATGGTGTTTGGGAGGCCACATCATATCGAATCTCTTATGACGGAAATGGTCAACGAGATATATTCTCTGCCAAATCCAAGATTTTGGGTCCCCCCCAAAATTTTGCGTCATAAGTGCCGCTTCGGTGCTCTCATCACCCTCGGGCCGACTCGGCTTTCCCTTACAACAACTCCATATCACCCCCCAGCTGCACACCACCCCCTCTGACCGGCACCATGCCCCCCCCATCCTCCTAAACCGCCGTTCCGATCCTCCACTTCCGAGGTGCACCAAACAGCCACATCGTTATTGATATGGATTTTCAGGCTGCGTCATCTGCACAGCCTGAAAGAATCAAACCTAAATTTTGATTTGACGATTTTCGATGATGGTCTACGACAATTGTGGACGGCCAAACAAAGCCTAAGAAGCAGAACGTTGGCATCTCTATAATCACACTCTTTTCTTGTCGAGCCGCGAACACAAAAACATGTCGATCAAGGTGTGGATTGACTAGCTGCAAAGGAACATATTAAATCCTACTCTCGGCGGCTTGCCGAGTCCCGACTTCAAAGCGAGAGGAAGTCATGCATAACCAGGACGTCGGCACCGTACGGAGATGTCTGAATTTACAGTAAACTTGTTTGTGCAGCCTAAGAAAAAAACTATCCTGGGCCCAGGATACTTTCTCGGCTGAAGGGAAAGGGAGTTGGCGATAGGATGTTATATGTATGTATGTGGAGTGACTGCAATGGAGCCGATGATGTTTGATTACTGTGATGAGGGTACACATAAAATAACAGCGCCGGGAGTAGTATGTACAGAGACAGGAGATTTTCACGATGCTCATAATTCGCAGCATTTGTGAGTTTCGGACTTGCGGCATCTGAGCTGATTCTGATTGATAGAGCCGGCTTCA